TTTGAGAGAGAGCGCGCGCGGTGATTCACTCTCGCTGTTTGTGAAATTACGTCTCACACAAGGTTTTCAAATTACTTTATAAGTTATTTAATTAAGAAATATGAAGGTCACCTTCACCTCACATTATACCTTATACCTCACCTTCAGCATTATAATTATTTCACCCGCGCCGGACAGAGACTGAGACGGTGCTGCGCTGCATGTCGTGCCAAACCTTCTCACGGCAGGCGCGTCATCAGCTTGAGATCGGTTTTTTGAGATCGGCCTTTTTAGAGATCGCCGATCAATCATCCCAAAGTGATTATCGGCCGATAGTGATCGGTAGCTGATCAATCGGAGCACCCCTAGACATAGGCTGCAGTCCCTCACCTACTGTCTTTCAGGTCTTGGAAGCAGGAGTCAATTGTCTTTAGTCTCAGTGCCCGTTTAGAGCGGGCAAAGCGCATGTAGTTTATCACCTCATTCTGATGATGCTCATTAAACCCAAAATCAGCCTGTAGGTAAAGGCAAAGAATATTACATTTAATGGCAATCTAGGTTTTAAAGACAAATTTTGTAGCAAAAAATATACTACAGAGAAACAGCACCTCCTTCTGGCTACATGACACTTTAACACCAATCTTCTGTACTGACAACTACAAGAATTTCATTCACACTACAACTTTGAAGTTGACTTTCATGTCTGGTTTAAAGATGTTAAACAAAGTTATATATATACAGTTAAATAACCTTATATCAAACACTCAAATGGCAAGTTCATGTGATAGGAATTAAGTGAATTTTCCAATTCATGCAGTCATTTTAAGTACAGAAAATAGTTATTTATTATATGTTTATAGTTTTAGTTTTTATTCTTATTATTATTAGTTATTAGTGTCTATATGGCGTATCTTATTAATGCAGTGTTTAATTAAAACGAAAAACACTTTAACTGTTTAATTATATCAATAGTGATAGTATAGGGGAGTGATTATTGTTTGATCTGCAAAAATAATGATGATTTTATAATTATGGTGATGAAATTATAATGATTTGATATTGCTTGTGGCAATTTTTAATGAATCAACCAATGAATCAACAAATACAAATACAATAAACAGAACATCAAAAAATTGTAACATACAACAAAGATGATGATAATAATAATAATAGAATATCAAGTAAACAACTGAATAAATAGATACATAATGGTATTTATGGCCTAATAACGTTACAACCAGACGTCATCTTATAGATCTAGCTAGTCTTCCCTTAAAGTCCCCTCTTTAAATTGCTTATTTTAGAGATTAGAGAGTTTTATTGCTCAGAAATAAAAAGAGTTGAATAAACTGGTAAAATAAAGCCACACGCATGATTTATTCTCTAATTTTCCTCCAGCTAATGTTAGCTGGCTAAGCTACTTACCATTAAAGCAGGGTGATGCAAGAGTTTTAACGTGGCAAGAAGAAAAATAAACGTCACCAGAATTAAATATAGAGCGTTAACATAAGGTTCGAATATCAAAAGGCACTGTCATGAAAATATAATGGGAATGATGTGAAGGACTGGAAGATTTGCAATGAACGTTAGCGAGAAGAGCCTTGTTGTGCTTCTGGGTTGCGCTTGGAAACAGGACAGCGTCACTCCGTTACTAACGACAATAGAGACAGCTTCGCTCATAGGACGGCAGGGGACGTGTTCGTTGTTCTTCTTCTTCTTCTTCTTCTTCTTCTTCTTCTTCTTCTTCTACGGCGGATCGCAGACTTATACGTGTATTACCGCCACCTCTTATTCTTCTTCTAATCATAGACATACCCTGCGTCTCAATGTTCATACTATCCATCCTACATAGTATGTGAGATTAGAATAAGTGTGTCCCAAAGCATAAAATGTTGAAAAGAGGATGCCAAAAGTCCCCGGATGGCCTACTATTTCAGGTCTATTTTTGAAGTGTAGATCTGTGCACACTCTAATGCAGGGCTGTCCAAACTCGGTCCTGGAGGGCTGGTGTCCTGCAGAGTTTAGCTCCAACTTGCCTCAACACACCTGCTAGCAAGTTTCTAGTATGCCTATAAGAGCTTGATTAGCTGGTTCAGGTGTGTTTAATTGGGGTTGGAGCTA